GGCGGCGGTAACCTAGGCCTGTGTCCCTGCTGAATTAAGCTCCTAGGAGTTGGGCCTGTGTTCAGGGTCCTGTGCCTAACACACTGTGGGTATGAGGAGAATGGTTGTTCCTTGAGGAATGGCTCCTCCTAAGCCCAGGTAAGGCAGAGCAGTCAGAACCAGGGCACAGGCGCACTTGGCAGTCACAGGCCAGAATACACCAACATGAAAGGCCACGGGGCTGCAGCAGATGCCCAGGAGGAACCGTATTCTCCTGTTCCCAAGGCTTCTCCTCAGCTGGGCTGTGTACATGGTTGTTTATATGTGTGGAGGGTGAAGGAGGGTGTTTTTTTCCACAAAAGCTCTCTCTCTCTCTCCTTGTCTTTGTCTCCCCCTTGTGGTCATTGCTTTCCATGTTCTAACTGCCATCAACTCACTCATTCACTTTTCTTCATTTGTTCATCTTCTTACTCATCATTTCTTGGAAGGATTTAAGCAAAGGAGGGGCATGTTCTTGTTTGAACTAAACAAACACACAAACAACAACCTCACTCTGGCTGCAGTGGTTTCCTGGCTTCTTCCTGGTTCTGTCTGTTTCTGCCTCCAACCTCACTCCACCCCACTTCTGGCCCATGTCTCCTGAACAGCCTCTAGGAGTCAGCCCTGGGTCTGGGTCAGCTCGAGGGAGTTCTGTGTCTCCCCTCTTACCCATAATTGATGATCAGATGAGGCTTCTCCTGCTGCAGGAGCCTCAGCATCTCTGTCACCTCCGCACTCAGCCGAGTCCCGTCCACCCTGCAAGCACAAAGGGAGCCTTGTTATCCTGGGACCACCCACGATCTCCAGGGCCTCAGGGCCCAGAATCATGGAACCTTCCAGGTCCTGCAGGAACCTCTTGTCTTTGAATTGGAAAGAAGAGTTAGGAGGTTTATTAGGGGGTGTTGCTGGGTTAACACAAGGGCAAAGGAAGGGAGGAAACAGGACTGGGTAGAGGGACAAGTTGGAGTGTGATGCAGTCCCAAGGGGCACAGCTGACTCTGTGGGACTTCTGATGTGGGGATGACCCTCCAGGGCTGTCCATACTGGGAGAAGGGTCCTTATACCACTACCCCAGTCACTGGACGGCAGTGACCTTGTGTGAGATGGCCATAGTTGGCAGAGCCATTCTTCTTGCTGGCACCACTCCCAGGGTGGGGATTGGGTCTTCATTCCTTAAAGGGGACTGGGCAGCACTTCACAGCATCCACCAGAGGACAGGCAGTGTCCATGGCCTCAAATGACCACACAGGAGTAGGTCCTGGGATTTCCTTCTCAGAGGCTACGAGGCTTCCTAGAGAGAGAGTGCCCTGTTTCCATTCTCTCACGCCATGTGCTCTGGGGTTTCTGTTGGATTTGGGATGGCTGCTGCCCTCTCTGGGCCTCCATGTCCTCACCTCCAACATGGAGGGACCTGCTCCGCCTATTATGAGCCTATGCCCTCCTGTAGCTCTCCACCCGCTGCCCTGCCCTCCTGTAGCTCTCTCCGCTTGTAGATTGGTCGTGATGTTACAGCATAACATATAATTAGCATATTCCTCTCTTATTATATAGGATACTATACCATACTATACCACAAGTCAAGAACTACACAAACCCCACCCAACTAATCACTGTGTGTTCACGTGGAACAATGTGTCCCACAGTATAATCCTGTGGTTCTCCAATATTGTCTCATAGGACATGCGGATATTAAAATGCACTCAGCTACCCTTTGAGTCAACCCATACTTTCACTATCTTTTACTTAAAGGATATTAAAGCCCAGGACATTGTGGTAGAATTGGGAATAATTCATATAAGCACAACAAACCACATTAATAAAATAGTAGTAGTGCACTAACAAAGACAACAGTGTTGAGAGTGTAACATTATTTTTAAACATTGATGGCAAATTACAGTAAATGTTTCCTATAATGCTATATAGATGTTTTCTAACACAAGGTTTCAGGGGGCCCAGCTAGAGTACCACAGCTTGTTTTCAACTATATTAAATCACTTTATCAATATACTTCAGTTTTAACAAAAGCTTTTCTAAAGCATGCTGGAGACCTTACTTCTAAAACAGAGGGTTCACTATGCTAAAAGGCAAACTTATTTACGATATAAAAAATTCATGTTAAATGTTTCTAGTCATGTATGTTTAATGTTTCATTCTTGTTTTATTTTAATCTTCATTTTACTTATTTTAAATTAATAAACACCTTTTTCTGTGATGCCATAAGAAATGTGTTTGCCTTGTGGTCCCTCTAGCTAGCCCAATAGTCTACATCTGATAGGGGAACAAAGGGGTGTGTGATAGAATGGCATATTTATCCTCCTGGACTTCAAAAGCTGGGGGATCTGCCTGGCAGATGTTTCTCAATGATTGAGTGTTGACCTATGAACCAGGAAATCATGGTTTGATTCCAAGTCAGGGCACATGCCCAGTTGCAGGCTCAATCCCTGGTGTGGGGCGTGCAGAAGGCAGCTGATCCATGATTCTCTCTCATCATTGATGTTTCTATCTCTCTCTCCCTCTCCCTTCCTCTCTCTGAAATTAATGAAAAAACATATATTTTTAAAAGCTGGAGGATCTTAACATAACATCTTTATAACATCTTATTTTTGAAGAACCAGGCCACTGTAGAAAGTTATCCGCCATGTGTATGTCTAATTCTGTTGAGTATACATTTATATCTCTCAGATTCTATTACTTTTTTGGGAATTTCAAACATTTACTAGCTGTTGGGGTCCAGCCCCAGCAGGTCCAGGGGTTCACAAAGGTATGGATGGAGTCGGCGAAGAAGGAATGACACGGAGACAGCGTTCAGATGATCAGCATAGCTAGGTTCTCTAGCCAGGTTCTAGCCAGGTTCTCTAGCCAGGTTCTCCATCCAGGTTCTGCCTTTATTCTCCTGTTACATCTGTATGTATACCAGTTGATTTTAATCCTATCCATTCTATTCCAAAGGTTAGGGCGTTTATTATCTCCATTCCAAGGTCACTACTCTATTGTTCTGTTAAGATACAAGGAAGTAACTGAAGGAGATTATCCTAAGTAAAGATTATGTAGTTTAAGCATGATTTGTTCATAGTTAAAGTGATTAATTACCCGCCTGGCACTTAGTTAAGGGGTTTTATTCCCTTCCTTAGTCCTGTTAATCCCTAACTCCAGGGAAAAAATCCCCACCTGGGGAAACAACCTTTCTCGGAGAGGTGGCCTTGGTTAAAACACATAGCGCTAAGAAGGGGAGCAAACATATTAAAAACAGTATGCCATATATGCCAGGTCCCTTGAAACATATGCTGTGCAGATGTTTCTTCCCTGCAGCGACTGTGGGAGAGGCCCTTCAGCATATGTATAGGAGATGGTGACAGCCACACATGCTCAGAGGGGAGGGGGCTGGGTGGTGGTAGCCCCATGGGTGGAGTTCCCTTGCTTGTGAAGGGTCAGAGTGGGCTCTGGGGGGACCCACATGTAGAGTGTTCACCTCCTGCTCGTTTAGGCTTGAGGAAGGAGGACAGGTGGAGGAAAAGCTGAGAGCCAGCTGAAGCCTCGGCCAAGACTGAGGGGTCAGGACATGGATGTTTGGAGCCCTGTCAGCTCTGAGTGTGAGACAGGCCCCAGCTAGGAGCTGCAGGGAAATGTTCAGTCAGAAACTGGCTGTGGACTTGTTTTCAGGCTAGAGGGCAACAGGAAGTGGCCGGGAGACAGTGTGGGAAAAAAGGGCTGGTGGTCACTGCACCCCAGCCACACCGCTCTCCAGTGCTCTGAGCCTGTTTCTGTCCTGGGGTCTCACCCACGCTGTTCTCAGCTTGGACTGCTCCCCCTGACTGGGCCTGCTCAGCCCCTCTTCTTCAGGTCACAGCCTGATGTCACTTCCCGAGAGAGGCCCTCCCTGCCCCTGAGTCTAATTCCATCCTCTCCCCTGTTACACTCTCATAACACAAACATAACACAGTGCAGTTCCCATTCACAAACTGCACGGAGCTCAGAGATACACACTGTGTGTTAACATGTCATCAACATCTGTCTCCTTGTCACTGGAGTGGAAGCTTAAGGGGACAGGACCTGCGTCTGTGGCTCACTATTGTCCCTTCAGTGCCTGGCCTAGTGCCTGGCAATTGGGAGCCATGAAATGAATGAATGGATGAATGAGTGAATGAAAGAGACCATTGAAGGAAGGAAGGAAGGAAGGAAGGGAGGAAGGAGAGAAGGAAGGAGGAAAGAGAGGAAAGATTGCTCTGGATGGAGAAATGAACCTAGGATTCTCCAAGAATATGTGGTCTCACTAGTAATTATCATTGCAGCCTCTCAAATCTGTTTCCAGCGCTGTGATGCATTTTATTTCATCACATCTATGAGGTGGATATGGTAGTCCTGTTATAAAGATAAAGAAACCAAGTCTCATGGCCTAAGTCAGTGGCGGATCTGGTAGGGAACCCAGGCTGCCTAGGCATTTTGCTTCCCCTTTACTTCCCCTGTCCAATATAGGGCTCCCACACCCCTTTCCATTGCTCTCCCTCCCCTTCCCTGTCCTCTGCCCAGAAATGACCCCAGGGCCTTACCACAGGTACTTGAGGTGGCAGTTAGACTGCCTGAGTCCTTCACAGAGCAGCCTCACACCGAGGTCGCCCAAGTCGTTCTGCTGCAGGTCCAGCTCTATCAGCATGATGTTGTTACTGAGCATGGAGACCAGGTCCTGGCAGCAGCGGGGTGTGAGGTTGCAGCTGACGAGCCTGTGGGAGAAAAGCACATGGGTCGGAAGTCATTGTTCACAAGGCCCTCTCCTCAGGGTAACGAGGGTCTGATTTCCCTCTCTAGCACCTGTGGCCCTTTGGGGGTCCCTGGTGACATAAAGGAAGAGAAACACGTGTCTGGTTAATAGTAATCCGGGAGATTTTAATTTTCTCCTGCAGCCAAGGAGCCCCTTAGGATCAGAGAACCTCCTTTTCTCACTCCTGTGAGATTCCCAACAATCTTGCAACTCCCCTCATCAACATTATATGATTTATTTACCCAATGTTCCACTTGTGCACCAAGTCTGATTGTTAGCAACATCGGCCCTACCAAATGCCCAGGTAGCTGACACAGGATTCTTTGGTGGCTTTCAACACTAGGGTGTCTACTTGCTTCTAACCCAAATCACCCCATCCTACCTAGCTCTCAGCTTCTCCCTGACCCAGGGTCTTAGGCAGCTCCCTCTCCTCCTTTGCCCACCCCTCAAAGCAGTGTCAAAGAGGAGCAATTACAGCAGTCGCCGCAGCTTGCAGTGAGAATGTCTCAGCTCCTGGAATAGGTGTCTGGCTCCAGCGTCCAGGAGCTTGTTGAAGCTCAGGTCCAGCTCTATCAGGTGCCTGTTGTCGCTCAGCACACGGGCAAGGGCCCTGCAGCCTTCTGCTGTGAGGCCGCAGTTGGCCAACCTGTGGGAAACAAACACTGATAGCCTTGAGTTTCCTCACCTGTTGATTCCACAGACACCCACGAGCACCCACGGGCACCTCTTTTGAGTCAGGCTGTAAGTAAGACCTCCAGATCCCCAGAAATGCACTGGGGGATTGACATAGAAACACAGACAAAAAATCTGAAAAGAAGCAAGAGAAAAGCAGTTACTTACCTACAAAGGGGTGCCTTTGACTGGAATCAAACCCAGGACCCTCCAGGCCACAGGCTGACGCTCTATCCACTGAGCCAAACCAGTTTTCATGCAGCCCTTCTCTTGTCCCTCTGTCCCAGAAGGACCAAAGCTCTTTTCTCCTGTGCCTTTGATTCCACACCCTCCTGCTTCCCCTCTGATCTGTTCTTTCTGGAATCCCCTCTTCAGACCTCCAACCTCTCCTTTACCAACTCCTTCTCCTTTGTCCGTGTACTATGATCAGTTTTACATGTCCATAAAAAGCAAAGTACCCAGAATCCTTGAGTCTAGCATATTCAACTGATTTCCAGAGAAATCCAATTATTAGTTAGGACTTTGTTCGAAGGTCTTAGATATTCCTACATCCAAAGGCTGTAAAGCTTTCAGTTCTTTCATATAGAATCAACTTTTGTAGTGAGGAAATATTCACATCTGCCTGATCCATCATTAGTTCCCCTGAAAAATCTCTTTTATTGCACTGCCCCACTGAGTCAGCATGAATTTGATCCTGACTTTCATGATGAAGTACTGCAGGTGGTGCTGGGTTGTGTGCTCACTGCCTTCTAGTCCCAGTTCTCCCTTTTCTAGCTGTTTAAATTTGAGCAAGTTGGTTCACTCCACTGAGCTTCAGTTCTTACTATCTGGAAAATGGAAATCATTGTCCCTGCTCTGCCATTTTCATAAGGTTTTTTGAAGGCCAATATATATATACTAGAGGCCCGGTGCACAAATTCGTGCATGGGTGGGGTCCCTCGGCCTGGCCAGTGATTGGGCTGATCAGGGCCATCTCATGGGAGGTTGGCCGGCTGGGGGGAGGGACCACGGAAGGTTGGCTGTGGGAGCACACTGACCACCAGGGGGCAACTCCTGCATCGAGTGTCTGCCCCCTGGTGGTTAGTGTGCATCATAGCTACCAGCCAGTCATCTGGTCATAATGGTCACTTAGGCTTTTATATATATACTAGGGGCCCGGTGCACAAAAATTTGTGCACTGGGGAGGGGGTTCCCTCAGCCCAGCTTGCCCCCTATCACATACTGGGAGCCCTAGGGGATGTCCTACTACCTGCTCCCTGCTCCCCTTGGGGAGTGGGCCTAAGCCACAGTCTGGCCACCCTTTGTGGGAGTCGAACGGGCTGATCAGGGGAAGGCACCAGCCCCATCACCGCACTGTTGCAGCCACTGCAAGTCAACAATTGCTGGCTGGCTCCCCCCTGGTTCCCCGCCTCTGCCGCCATCAACAATCCTTGGCTGGCTCCTCCCTGGCCCAGGCCTA